GCAGGCCCAGCAGATGCAGCGCATGCAGACCATGGCCATGACCGCCATGCCCCTCGTGGCGGGAGGGCGCGTCGGAGCGGGGGCGGGCTCAGCAGGTGGCGGAATGGCACCCTTCAGGGATACCTTGGAGGTCTTCGGGGACGCCGCTCGGCCGGGCCGCCGCGGGGCCAACGCAGCGCCAGGCCGAAGGATTGCAGGACCACATCCAGCGCGCGCTCTCGAGCCAGCTACCGACGTTGCAGCTGCCGTTGCCGCGGATGCATTGGCCGCAGATCCACCTGCCGCGGCTCCAGCGGCCGCAGACCCAGCTGCCGCATCACCAGCCGCAGCTCCAGCTGCCGCTGCCGCAGCTCCAGCAGCCGCCGCGCCCGCTGACGGTGCTGGGGCAGCGCTGGCACAGAACATGAAGCGCACCGTGGATCAGGCCATGGACACGATGCAGGCGAAGCGCGAAGAGGCCAAGGAGAAAGCCAAAGCGAAGAGGGCCATGAAGAAGCCCGCGGCAAAACCAGCCAAGGCGAAGAAGGACGACGAGGAAGAGGAGGAGGGCAAAGAAGACGCCGACGCCGACGAGGGGGAGGAGCCGGCCGACGACGCAGGTGGCGAGGGCGAAGATGACGACGGGGACGAAGGCCCACCCGCTACTCCCGCTGCGAAGGGCATCCGCACGACCAAGAAGGTAACGCTCGCACATGGGAAGCGCGGCGCGGGCGACACGGCGGCCAAGTTGAGCCCGTCCAAGACGAAGGCCGACAGGGCGACCATGGCGACCCCGCCCAAGACGAAGGCCCACAAGGCGACCCCGCCCAAGACGAAGGCCGACAAGAAGCCGATCGACATCTCCGACCTGGCAGTCATGACGGAGACGACGATGAAAGCCACCGCGCGCGAGTGCTTCACTTCGAAGGCCTACCGCACGGCGAGGCAGAGGGCGAAGGCCGCTGGCAAGTCGACAGACGAGACGAAGGAGCTTGGCAGGAAGGCTTACGCGGCTTCAGCGGCTAGCTGGGACAAGCTCAAGGGCAGCTGAGCTATTGATGACGAGTGATCTCGTCGGTGGCAGGCCTCTGCCGCGCATGGGATCTTGCTAGCCGGCGCGTAGAGAAGCGCCGCAGCTCGGGGAAGCGTTGCGTCGCAGCGTTGGTATGCGCGCGCCTGGACAGCGCACGCAAACCCGCCATCCTCACCCTCATCGCCCCCCCCCCCCGCCCCATTCGCGCCCCCAAGGGCTCCCGCGGGGGCGCCGAGTCATTCGCGCTTCGCGTTTCGCGGTCCTCCTTCCTCCCCCCACTCCTCGCCCCCCCCCCCCCCCCCCCTTTGGGGAGGGGGAAAGGGGGGGGGGGGCGCGAGAGCGCGAAGTTATTCGCGCTTGGCGCAGCGCGAAGCGCGAAGTTGGGAGCCCTTGCGCCCCCGCATCGAAAGGAGCGATTTTCCACGGCGTGGTGTGAACGGCCTGCGCCTCTGAGAGGGGTCGGGGTGCAACGTTCCCCGCCTCCTGGCGACGAACGTGCATTGGGCGCATCAGGCCTTGCATTCGGGGCTCCTTGGGTCCTTGCTTGGGGCCTCAGTGAGCTCGTGGGTTGCCTACCCAAGGGGCCCCGCCGCGAGGGCCTCTTGGGTCCCTCTTGGACCCATCTTGGGGCGACGTCGCCGTCGTCGGCATTCTCATGCGCTATCAGGCGGCCCTGGCAATGGTCTGATAACCGTTATCAGGTCGCCTGATAATGGTCTGATAATGGTCTGAAAATGGCCGGATAATGCATTAGCAGGCGGTCTGGTAACGTTATCAGCCGATACATTGCGTTATCAGGCGTGCCCTGATAATGCATTATCAGATTTCTGATAACGCGTTATCAGATGAGGTCTGATAGTGGTATGATAATGGTCTGATACTGGTCTGATAATGCATTAGCAGGCGGTCTGCTAACGTTCTCAGCCGATACATTGCATTATCAGGCGTGCCTTGATAATGCATTCTCAGATTTCTGATAGTGGTCGGATAACCGTTATCAGGTGGCCTTGATAACTGTCTGATCATGGTCGGATGATGGTCCGCCATTGGTCTGATAACCGTTGCCAGGCGGCCTTGGTAATGGCCCAAGATGGTGGAGGTGGCCGATGCGGAGGAGCACCATGGAGGTGGCGATGCGCCGCCGAGCGTCCTAGGTCCGACGGATGACGGCGACATTTGCGCTATCTGCCAAGCCCCCTTGAAGTGGGATCCCGACGGGGACAGCGGCCAGGGGCAGGTTATGCGTGCCATCTTGCCGTGCCTTCACATGTTCCACCAGTTTTGCATCGACGAGACCTGCAGGATCCTGGAAAAGCCAATGGCCGCGGTCGCGCGCCCGACCTGCAGGAGGACGCAGCAGGACATTCAGGCCATGGGGGAGAAGATGATCAGTGAGGGGGTGGCTCTCAGGGCCGCGGATGGGTTGCCGTGCAGGGCTAAGGCGGCTCGGGCGGCTCGGCAGCTCCAGATCGACACGACGTTCGGCGCTACAGTTTCGGAACATGCCCCGAAGGCGCATGGGCAACGTTGCGCTGGCCTGGACAACCCCTGACACCCCCTCCATCCGCCAACCCCTTCGCGCCACTAGCGCCCCATGGGGGCGTCGCAGATGCCAAGCGTCATATTCGTCGTGCCCCCTAATCTGCACAGGGTCACGGGGCCTGAGACTGCTGGGGACGTTGAGTGGGAGGGGTGGCGGGGTGGGGGGCCGGGGGGGGGGGCAAGCGCAGCGCAGTGACCACTGCAAGGCTGGCAACATCGTGCGCGTCGAGGCCGACAGTCCGATCGAGGCGGCGGTGGCCCCCTCCGCCGCCGCGGCGCCGCCGCCTCCGCAGCCCCCGCCAGGGCAAGCTTTGCCGCGTCGGGCGAGGCCCTCGGCGGCGAAGAGCAGCGGGGCGCCGCCCCCGAAGGTCGGCGCGATCATCTTCGAGCCCCCACACCATGGCCCTCCCGCGGTGGCCCCAGCGCCGCCGGGTCCGCCCCCGCAAGCGGCGGCTGCGCCTGAGCCATCGGTCGCCGCGGGCCCCCCGCCAGATACTGCGGCAGAACCTGATGCAGACCCACTGGCAGCGCCAGCCCCCTCGAACCCGCAGACCCTTAGTCGCGCCCCGAAGTGCGGCCTCTTCCCAGCGCGGCCGAAGCCGGCGCAGGCGCCAATGGTGACGGATCGCCCCAGCTCCCTCGAGGATCGCCGCATGCACTGCGGGGGTTGCGGTGCCGAGGTGGAGGTCATGGACAAGATCAGGGTCCGCAACAAGGGGAAGAACGCGCACAGGTGCTCGCGCTGCTCCAGCAAGGTCACGCAGCTGAGCACCGAGCTGGGCGGATGGCCAACGCCCGAGTTCAGTGCTCTCGACGACGAGAGCAAGAAGGCGTTCTTTGGCGGCATCAGGGACATCACGAATCGAGAGGATGTCGTCGCGCAGTTCCACGAGCACACGAAGGGCTTCGAGGAGCACCACAAGTGGTACGCAGAAGGAGGAGAATGATTGCTTCTGTCGGCGTGGTCAGTCAAAGGCTTCGACACGGGTCGGATCGAGAGCTTGTCGCACCCGTGGGACATTCAAGACCACCGCGTCCCTGGGAAGACGCACCGCGCCCCGATATATTCGGCTGGCACGGCGGGCAAGAAGGGGAAGCTTCGCGAGGACGCGGAGGAGAACAGCGGCAAGAGGCCGAAGGTGGATGGCGCTCTCGAGTCCGAGTCCGAGGAGTCGAGCTCATCGAGCTCCTGGTCGCGCGGCCGCCGTAAGAAGAAGTGCAAGAAGGACAAGAAGGACAGGAAGGGCCACAAGAAGGGCGAGATGGACAAGGAGGCCAGGAACACCCGCAAGCCGAAGGAGCGCGAGAGGGAGGAACATAAGCTGGATACCATGAGGAAGAAGGAGGGCGCGAAAAACCTGGAGAGCGCGACGGCGATGTCGGACAAGGTCAGGCACATAAGCACACGCTGCAGGATATCGTGAGCGACACAGCGTTCCAGGGGATGCCGCAGAGGGTCCGCGAGACCATCGAGGTTGACTACAAGAAGATCAGCGAGCTCCACAGCGACGTCGAGAAAGTCATGGACGGTGACCACAACGGCACCATTCGTCACATCGACAAAAGTGTAACGGTCAAGAGCCTGTTGGCAGACACGAAGCGCAAGGCCGGCACGGCCTCGCAGCTCATCCGCCAGGCCAATCTGTGCTAGGATGGCTTCGGCGCGGCTGCTGGCGCGTCGAGCGCAAGTGCGACGCGGCCCTTGCAGCTCAGCAGGCCAACCCGCGCTAGGTTGGCATCGCCTAGGCCGCTGCGAGCGGCGTCGCACGGCGGGCAACGGGGTGTCCCAGCCGTGCTCTGCGTTTGGAGAACCCGACCCGACCTCTCGCAGGCCTCCCAAGGGCTCCCACGAGGGCGCGAAGTTATTCGCGCTTCGCGCTCCTCATTCCCCCCCCCCTCCCCCTCGCCCCCCCCTTTCTCCCCTTTGGGGGCGCGGCGCGAGAGCGCGCAGCCATTCGCGCTTCGCGGAGCGCGAAGCGCGAAGTTAGAGGCCCTTGCCTCCCCAGGCCCCAACCCGCAGGTCAAGGCCCCCAGGGCGCTCACCCCATCGGCACGGCTAGATGTGCAGGAAAAAACGTTTTTGATTCACTGGGGAACCTCAGGAATTTCTTGATTGCCTTCGCGTCAACATCTGACACGCTACCCCACCCCTCCCTTCCCTGTCCATTGCCGCCGTTTCGGCGCAGTCATCTCGCACAGTTCATTTTGCGTGAACAAGCGTTTGAGAGTTCAGTCTTTGTTGCATGCAGGGGGCGTGTCAATCGATGGACTTGCCAAGATCTTGTCTAAGTTAGATGTTGACGCCGCCCCGTGGAGGAAAACGCTGAATGAGGCAAGCCACATTACAGTGAAAAAGGTTGCGCGGTAGTTCGATCTTGAGCTGGAAATGAAGAACGCCCTTTCAAGTAGGAAATCTCAGGACCGTCGCTCCTGCTGCAAGAGATGGATGGTCCATGCGTCGGCCGAGCTCCATGAGCTCTTCGCCCAGGCGGCCAATGCCGCTCCGTGCGCCATAGACACACCCTGGAACATCACCATAGGATTCGATGAATGCACGACGGGGGGCAAGAAAAAACTTTCGAACCGCGGGAAAACAATGGTGACGTCGTTCAATTGCATGGAGGTTGGCCCCGCTGCGCTGTGCCACGAGATGACGTGGATGACGTTCGCGCTGTGCCGTGCGCATATCATCGGGAGCGTGATTGGCCGTTGGCATTGAATGTTTCGGATTTTGCTGCACATGCTGATACTTGGTGACCTGTCGTTTCGCAGGCGGGCTGCCCAATGATGCTGCATGGCCAAGCCTTTCATCTTTATGCGAGGGTGAAAACTGTGCTGTCGGATTTGGGTGGTTTTCGGATGCGATACGATTGGGGAGGGGCTTCTGCTCACAATCCGGGCCTATTCTGTACCAACGTGTGGAAAAAGAACTTGCCATTGGCACCTGGCGAGGTTGACATCGCGCGCGGAGACGCTGCTCAGTTCAGACCGATGGACAAGGACCAGATGATCGACTTAATGGCCATTGTGATTTGAGCAAAGGATCAATTTGACAACGGTGAAATCCGCAATGGGGGTTTTAAGGAAAAAGTTCAAGGACTTGGGTTCAATCCGAACCCCCACTCGCTGCAGGCCGACGCTCGTCTCTGCGAGGTGCTTGACATATACTCTGTCAGTCGCGCCGATTGGGCGCACGACGCGCTTGCGCACGGGACGTTTGCAAGGGAGTGCCCGTTGTTTGCCAGGTCGTGCGAAGGCATAGGGTTGCAATTTTCATTCCGGCGTGATTCGATGAGGGCGGACTCGCCCTTCCCACGACGGCGCGGCGTAGAGCATTCTGAATTATATAACGCTTTTTCGGACCACAGCGCGGAAAAAAAGGAAACGTCATCGCGAAGGCCAGCGAATACATCAGCCTGTACGTGCTCATGAGGCATTATGTGGAGCGAAATTTGGCGTGCGACGCCCGCATCAGGTTGCAGCGGGAATCGTTCGAGGCAGCGTGCGAGGTAGTTGACTTGTGCATGACTGCCAAGCGATCGCCGGGCCCTGTGTTCCAGCATGCGGCCGCATCATTGCGCGGTGCTTTGCGGCGCCTTTCCGATCAAATGAAGGCTGCGTACGGCAGGGGCAAAGTTCTCTCGAAGCACCATGCTTGTTTCTACATCCCCGATCAGTTTCTCACTGATCGGTGCGCGGTGGATCTGTTTGCGGTGGAGAGGTCGAACCTTCGGGTCAAGGAGGTTGCCGACCACGTGGATAACACCCACACTTGGGAACGGTCTGCGTCGGCGAGCCTGTTTACCAAACAGTTCAACGCACTTCAGGATGGCAGCTGCCATTTCTCCAACGGCCTCGTCGGCAAGTGCACCTCGCCTCGGGAATATCAAAATGTCTCGCTGACCAAAGCCGCCCGATCTGACGGCAAAGAGTTTCACGTGCACGACATTATGATTTCAGCTGGTGTTGTTGGGAGGGTAGCTGCCTGCGCATTCGACGCATCGGACTTGCGTTTGGTCGTGCAGGTTATAGAGCCGATTGGGCCCATGATAAAGTCGAGCAACAGGCATCGACTGGCACGCCGTCTTGGCGCGGCGTTCGTGGCGGACCCGCGAGAGGCCAGCGCTTGCTATATGGATGCACCCGGCGAGTGCACGGCCCCGTGGCAAGCCCAGTGTTTTGCCATGCGCGCCCTGACTCGTTTAGTTTTGAACGGCCCAGTTGGGCCCGCGCGTTGACATGTGTTTCTGTGTTCAGTTAGTTGCACGACAGGTCGTCGGCGTTGTCCTCATGATCCTCTTCAAACGTGTGAGGGGTGGGCCAAAAAGAGGCGGCGGCATGCGGACTGCGCCGCTGTGCCTCAGGTGGGGCCCCCGACGGGGCCGCGAAACGTGCGAGGAGCGTGCCAAAGTGCGGCGGCGCAGCCATGCGGGCTGCGCCGCTGTGGCCGTGGGGCCGCGAAGCGCGTGAGGGGCGCGCGCAAATGGGGCGGCGGCGCAATGCGGGCTGCGCCGCTGGGGCAAGCGGCGTTGCCGCTAAGCGGCGCCGCCGCTGGTTCAGAGACGAGTGACACATAGAGGACGGGGAGACTGAGGAGGAGAATGGAGGAGGGATATCAGGAGGAGATGGAGCTGGAGGAGGGGGGCAGGATGACCACCCACGATTTCCATCAGTGCGCGGGTGCCCCCTTCAACGCAGACGCTTGTTTCCTGGCGACGCGATCGAATTGCCCTAGCTTCCGAGATGTTTGGGGGGGGGGGGGGGGGGGGGGGGGGGGGCCTTGGGGCCCGTGAGCGCCTAAGCGCTCAAAGCTTCAAACGGCTGCAACAGGAGCGCCTAAGCCCCCGACAGCAACAGGATTATACCAATTCCTTTGATGGTTGTATCTTCGACGCCTGCTTACAATCATGATGCGCCCGCCTACCTAGAATCATGGCCGTCCAGACTTTTCGGCGCCCTGGCGAGTCCAGATTCTACGCACAATGCGCTCGCCTAGCTAGAAATCAGCTTAGCACGAAGGGCATTCGCGCCATTCTTATCAAGAAACAACCTACAAACGTAGACACTTCCAGGTCAATACTTGCCTTGCCAGACCCGCACCAGCTGACAGTGGTTCGTTTGGCCGTCGCGCGCCAGGCTCATGCGCCCCCTGAATATGGAGTTGCAGCAAACAAAAAAAACATGACGGCGCCAATCACACTCACGCACGGCTCGAAACATCGCCGACGAGGCCAATCTTTTGGGATATATGCGAGGCTCCTCTCGTGTATGGACTTGCCCATAGCGCCTATGATCCTTTCTATATGGCGCTCCTCTGCGTAATCGACGAAATCTTCACATGTGCCCGTATAGCCTGCCAGCGAGCGCAGTGTCGGTTGGCGCCCATACGGGGCCTTGTACTGCAGTGGCGGAACCACACTCTCGAAGTGAAGCCTGCTAACCTCTTTGGCGCAACCGTACGAAAGAACTGCATCCCGTTCAGCAAGGAATACAACTCTGAAGCCCAGTGCGGTCGCCGACGCACAGCATTCCACAAGATCGAACTCCCCTTCTGGCGTCAAGAGACCGAGCGGTTCCAATGGCCCGCTGTGGTTCACCCGCACTTGGAGATCCCGTTCGCCTTGGAGCTGGTGGAGTGCCTGAGCATGATGGTGGTTGCAGGCCTTCGGCTCGTACCCTGGAGCGCTGGGCATTGGCGCAATCAGAGCTGGAGTCCTCCCTGTAATGAGAGTGTCCGATCGGCGGGTGGCCGAAACCACTATTGCCCTGCCTCTTGACAATTGGCCCAATGCCGACTCGAAGCAAATCGACTGGAAGTAATGTCCCAGCATAGTCTCTGATCAAGCGCCGCAAATAATCTCTGCAGTCTGAAGGCGACCACAAGTTCGACATCACAACGAGCAATGGGCCATTCAATTGTAATGGGCCCTCTGCGTCTTTGGGCCGCAGGATATATGCCCTAGCGGACTCGACTCCCCAACTGTGCATATCCATACATCGGGCAGCGCTGGGCACCATGGAGGCGGCGTCAGTGCAGACTCGGCGCCGACTGGCGAAATATGCTGCTGAGCGGGATATGCCGCTGAGCGAAGTAAAAGTCTGGGGCGGCCTGACTGACTATTTCGCTGAGCGAAGTAAGAGTAAGTCTGGGATGTGCCGCTGGGCGGGGCCCCCTTTCGGTCCTGACTGATTATTCGCTTGAGCCTAAGAGGCGGCGGGACGAACGGAATGCGCGTCCGGTTCTGGGCCGAAGCGGGAGCGCCGCTGATGACGCGCACAGGGGGCTACGAGCCAGGCGAGGCCTTGGCTGCGGTAGGGCGCGCCAGCTCCTCGAGCCGCGCCCAGCGGCGAAGACGGGGGGGCCTCCGAAGCAGGGGGGGGGCCACGGCTCGGACTCGTGGAGGAGTGGTAGTACGCAGCTGATGAGCAGTGAATCCAAACAACACCCTTGGGAAGCCCACGTGCGTAAATCATAGGAAAATTTCGCACGCTACATCATTGCGCGCTGCTCGCACACACAGGGGGCAGGACCGAGAGGACATTCGTGGAGGAGGAGGAGGGGGAAGAGGATGGATGGGGGGAGGCTCGATCGTGCTGCTGCGGGGCCCGTGGGAGGTGCCGGCATTGCATGGCCTCGCATAGCATCGCATAGCACCGCATAGAGCCGCATAGCACCGCATAGGACCGCACCCTGCGCGCGAATGTGCTGAAGTTTCTGCTGGCATGTTTCACGCCGTGTTCGCCATCCCCCCACCTCACCATCCTCCCAGAAGCATCAGCTTCCTACAGCTCATTTCTCGAGAGCCACCAGCGGCTGCGCTGGCAAGCCGATTCAAGCTTTTTGGCAGCCATCTCCTGACAGGATGCCCACCGCTCAGTAGCACAGGCATCCGGACAGCGAGGTGGGAGGGGGGCGGGAATGAGGTCGCGAGGGGGTGGGGTGAGGGGTGGACAGGGGGCCCCCGGGTCTCTCTGGTCCCCAGGGCGAGCTGGTGACCCCCTGGCGGCGCCCCTCACCCCTTCCCCCACGCCCTCCTGACGCCCGCCAATTGGCGCGATGTGGCAGAGAGGGACATGGAACACATCTGGTGGTCGGACTGCGAATCGCCAAACATCGATGCGCCCACTGATACGGTAGATGTGTTCGCAGACCTCTACGGCGATGTAAAGCACCGCTTACTCCCGATCCTGAGCCCCGAGGGGCCGGTCCCTCCCCTTCTCCTCTGACCCCTTCTACTCTCGCTGACCTCACCTTTCACTCCTCCCACCCCCCTCGACCTCGTGAGGAGATGCTTCCAATCATGTATGCCTGCAAGTTCTGGGCTGGCTGGGCGACGGATGCCCGAGGAGACGTTGCTTCGTGCCCCTGGGGTCGCCATCCACTCCCTCCCCTGGGCCCGTCCCCATGCGGTTGCCAGATGACCATGCGCATCCAGAGGTACGGGCGCTACTGGATCCCCCCCGAGCACGGCTTCTGGTTCGCCCCCAGAGCCTTTGCGAATTCGACTGAGCCCATCGCTTCCGAGCCCGCTGAGCCAGTCAATAACGAGGTCGTCTCTGCAGGACTGATACAGCTGGGCTGACTCATAGCGGACTGAACAGTTTCAGTGGACTGATACATAGCTGGACTTTCAGCTGGATTGATACATAGCGGGTGCTCACGTTCAGTGCTGGCATCTCGGGTCGGCTGGCATCAGTGCTTGCATATTGGGTCTTCGGTATCATGGCATCACGGCTGGCATCTCGGCCGGCATCTCATGACATTCAGTGCTGGCATCTCGGCTGGCATCAGTGATGGCGCCTTTTTGTTGGCGTCTTCGCAATGAGATGTTTAAGTCCTTCATCCCCCCTCCCCTGCTTCCCCATCCCTTCATAATTTCAAGTCGCAGCGTGGAGTCCTCTGCGTCGCTCGGATCCCTTGGGCACGATTCCAGGTCTTCGGTTTGATCAGACTCGTTTGCGTTGAGGCCTTCAGTTTGAAATGAGCGCGAGGGCGCTCGAGCTACACCAGCGGGCCAGCCGTCAGCGGCCCAGCCGCTCTTCACCTGGATGAAACAAAACCATACCATACTCCATATCATTTCATGCCATAGCGGTTTGTTCCAAGAGGTCCAACATCATCAAACAATGTTTGGGCCTTGACCCCGCCGATCTGCGCGAGGGGTGCCGCCGAATCACAGAAATTTTACAAGTCCCATGTGTTTTTGGACCCTGGCCCCGCCGATCTGCATGAGGGGTGCCGCCGGATTTCAAAAACTGTTGCAAATCCCATGTGTTTTGGGCCCTGGCCCCGCCGATCTGCATGAGGGGTGCCACCGAATTTCTGAAATGTGGCAAATCCCAAATGTTTTTGGACTCTGACCCCGCCGATCTGCTTGATGGGTGCCACCAAATTTCAGATATGTTGGAATCTGTTGTGACTTTGGACCCTGACCCCGCCGATCTGCGCTATGGGTGCCGCCGGAATTCAAACATCTTGCAAGCCCCATGTGGTTTTTTGACCCTGACCCCGCCGATCTGCATGAGGGGTGCCACCGAATTTATGAAATGTGGCGAATCCCGTATGTTTTTGGACCCTGATCCCGCCGATCCGCGTGAGGGGTGCCACCGAATTTCAGAAAATGTTGCACATCTGGTGTTTTTTTGACCCTGGCCCCGCCGATCTGCGTGAGGGGTGTTAATTTGTTCACCCAACTAACACATTTCCGTATATTTGTGTTGTTTCCCCCGGACGAGATCAAAAAAACAGCATTTCACACAAGTGAGCTGCAGTGAAATAGTAAGGTGGGAAAGCTCCATACGTTCATCGTGGCGCAAGAGCCGCATCTCACTATTATATAGACCTATGATTGAATGTACCATATTTGTTGTGCCATTCCATTAAGTTAGTTCAAGGAGTTGAAGGGTTTCAAGTTGACATGTGATATTGCAACTTCATTTTTGCGGATACAACTGAACTCGAAGATTGCTCAAGTTAAGATGATGTGGCTCACCCCCTGAAGTTGAAAGGAACATCTCAGTACGGGGGGACATCCACTGCATCTTGTCGGCCCGCGTCGCCACGGAGGTGCGATTCACCGCAGTGAAGGAAGATCTGAAGAAGAAGTTGGGTTTCGCGCAGCAGCGGGCCACAGTCGCGCCCTTCGAGTTCCACCCCAGGGACGAGCAGCGGCGCGAGGAGCGCTCGCCAGGCCAGCTCTTTCGCTCCCACCTCCCACCGCAGGGAATCTGGTTACCTCAACGTTGTCGCAGGGCCAGACGCCGCGCAAGCGCGCCACCATCGACTGCGCGAGGGGCGAGGACGCTGGCCGCGCGGGCACGTTGGGCTGTCAGCGGCGGCTGCACCTCTAAGTCATGTTCCCCCGCGCCACGCGCACGCGGTCGGGGCGCGCTGATCCCGCGGTTGCCGCCCGCCGCGAAAGTGCCCGGAGCGAGGGCCGTTGGCATCTTTGCGGAAGGCGCTCGTGGAACACGATAGCAGACCTGAGAGCTCCAGGGCAGAGGTGGAGCAGCTCGCGGCTGAGGTAGGCTTCGCGCTGCCCCCGCCCGAGCGCGACGGCGCCCCGCCCGACGCCCGCGGGCTCGCGCGCCAGCGGTTCGCCGACGGCCTGGCCCGCGGGGTTGCCCCAACGGCCGCGGCGCGATGCGGCAATTGGAGACTGCGCCCGCGCCGGCCGAAGCAGCGACGGCGCCGATAGGAAAATCGACGCGCGCGCGCTCACGCAAAAGAAAGGGGTGGAGGTGGCGGGGGACGAGAAATCAAAAGGACGAGGAGAGGACAACGCATGGAACGGGAGAAGAGCCTGCGCCAGGACGAGGAGGATAATGACGCAGAGGAGACAGTAAATTCGCTTCCACAATCATGAGGAAGACGATGAGGGTTAATGTAGTGGCCTCCGGCCAGTGCCGCCGATCCGGGACGTTTCCGTTGGTGCCGGAAGCGCGCGATAGCGGCCATGGCCGGCGACGACGGCGAGCGGCGAGGATGATGATGAGGATTGGGAATGGAGGCGACTGAGAAGGAGGACGAGGGGGAGGAGGAGGAGGAGGAGGAGGAGGATCATGATGTGGAGGGGTACGGGGGGGGCGGGGCAGGAGTAGCAGGATGTTGAGGGTGAGGAGGAGCAGGAGGAAATTGGAAATGGAAGAGGGGGAGGGGGATAAGTAGGAGCATTGCGAGAATGAGGATATTGTCTGCGGCTGTTGGAGATGTTCGGCGGTTGTTGGAAAGCCTTTTTGGGGCCAGGTGTTGGCCCCATTTGGGTTGCCACCTCGCCGATTGGCGCAGTCTCTGAAAAGCTTTGTGCTGGAGCTGTCTGCGTGCGTCTTGGACGCACATGTTGAAATTCCTGGAGGCGTTTAGGGGGTTTCAGGGGGCCCGTCCGGGGCCAGTTGGAAGCGTCCGGGGGCCTCTTCAGGCCTTTTTGGGGGACCTCTTGGGGCTTGCTGGGGGCCTATTGGGTCTTAGTCGGCATTTCGTCCGCCGTCTTGGCGCCCTATCGGGCGCCTCTTGGGCCCGTCCTGGGGCCCTTTTGGGCCTTTCCGGGGGCCTTTGGGCCATCTTGGGCCATTTTGGGCCTTCATTGGGCCGTCTTGGAGCATTCTTGGTGGTTTCTTGGGCCTTTTTGGGGTTCTCTTGGGCCCTCTGCGACGCTCTGAAGGCCCAAGAGGCGAATATGCTAAAATTGTACGTCTTCCCCCGGGAATTTGACATTTGTTGCTTCTTTGGGCCTTCTTTGGGAGGTCTTCTCAGGGTTTCTGACGGCATCTTGGGGGTTTCTGGGGCCGTATTGGGGACATCTTCGGCGTCTTGTGCCGATCGTTCAGCGACGCGGGGCCCTCCTGGCCCATGTCGGGGCCATCCTGGGCGAGGGGGCCGTCCCGGAGTGAGCTGGAGCTCCGATTCCGCCCAGGGAATGAAATCGACCCCCCCCCCCCCGACCCTGGCAGACCCACACCCTGGCACCCACCACCCAGCAGAGCTGAACCCCAGGAATTGAGGCGCAGGCTGTCCTGAAGGTTTTTGAAACTCACACGCCGGATCGGCCACAATCACGAGGACGGCGATGAGGGTTATTTCCAGATTTGCCAACAGGATTTTCATTCGGGGTCCTATTGTCGGGGTGAGTGTCAAAGGGATGACGGAAGAACTGGCTCTCGCGATTCATGGTTGGCGGCTGGTTTGGGGGGGCGAAAATTGACATGAACTTAAAAAATTCAGAGGTCCGCGCAGATTTGTCGGATCGGCGCTGGACCCCCCGGCGGCGCCACCGGCGCCGCCCTTGGCGCGTTCCGCGCGCTAGGGAGGGGGGTCCAGCGCTGATCCGAGGAATCCGAGCGGACCTCCGAATTTTTGTTCTTGTTTCTGTCATCGTTCGTTTCCCCATTCATGGTTGGCGGCTGGTCGAGTGGGGGGTGGGGCGTTTGTTCTTATGGAGCCGTGGTGGATCTCCCCCCAGAGTGGAAAAAAAGGGTCCTCACCCGGAGCGCAGGCCTGCGGGGGACGCGTCGCACCCAAGCAGAGGCGGCGACAGCACTTCCACACAGCCCGATGCAGTCCTGAACCGGACGCTGCGGCCTCCAGTTGGTGCTTTCGACTTGACGTAAGAGTGACCTATCGCCGGAGTGACATTTGGTGCGGGCCCAGTGGGGCCCCCGAATCGCCGAACGAGATGCGATAGTGGCGTCTTGCGCGCCTGTGTTTGGCCCCCCTGCGGCCCCCAAAAAGCCGCGTAGCAAAGGTCACTCTTACCCATGGTCACTCCTGCGTGCAGCCGATGCTTTCATTCCTTCCTGTGTTCATGGCGACCCTTGTCGCCACGGCTGGACTCGCTTCGGAATCTCAGTCAGATCACACCTGGGGAAAACTCTTGGCAACAGTGGTACAGCAGGTTCGCGTCGTGTCGACGCGGCGGTGACTCCGCGTCGGGCGCTCAAGGTTCAACGTTGACGGTGGCCCAGACGCAACCGGTATTGAAGGATCCGCCGTTTCGCAAAGCGCCGACCGCCCAAGGCTGAGCGATTCTCGCGCTGCCGGGGACAAGTCGTCACGACACGAACCTGCTGTAGTGGTTCGGCGGCGTGCGAGGGGGGGGGAGTGAAAAAGGGCGGGTTTTCTCAGAAGGCTCGGAAGTCCCACAGCCTTTGAGAAGTTTTCTAAGGCCTCCCCGAAGACAAAAACCTCCGCCTTCTGAGAAGGCCTTCTCCTTACTACTTCCCCCCCGCGCTCGCGGCCGAATGGTATCGGGACGTTCCTATTCCGGAGCACCCATCGGGGCGCCCCAGAATCGGAACGGCGGCCGCTCCCGACGCCGTCCTTCAAGCCCGCCGGCTCCAAGAGGGTCCGAGTCGACTGCGCCCAGTCTCGTCGGCATCCCGCCTCCTAGATCGCAGAAGACATGTTTTTTTCTCCACCCTGGCGGTTTTCCGTTTATGTTTGCATCCCGTGGGCACTCTGGAGCCCACGGACCGTCAGAAGTGGGCCCAGGGCGAAAAGAACTACCCTCGGGGAAGGGGTCGGGATTTCTGGCGCAGCGGATTGTAATGTTTCTGGCCAGATACCCTGACTTTCCAGGAGGGCGAAAAAATAGCACGCGACTTTAAAACCTATCCCAGAGCTATTCCATGTCTTGGTGTTGGGCTGTTTCGTTTCGTTTTTTATGTTTTTAGGCCTCCCGTACTAAAAAAATAGCTCTCTGGAAGGTCAGGGTAAGCACAGGCGGGAGAGACGGGTTTGCAGGGTCGCTCCCCCACTTCCGCAGCAAATTGCCACAGTGACCCAACAAAGGGCCGTGCTAGAAGCACGCTGCGCACTGTACGCCAGCGTGGAGTCCAGGAAAAGAGCGATGGAACATCACACGCCTCGGGGGATGTTTGGGTCAGCACTCGCTGCCTCTATCGGGTGTAGCCAGGACCCCGGGTAAGGGGACCCAGTTAGTGGTAGGGCCCGGGGGCCTCTCAATTGGCCAGATTCACTAAACCAGGTTTGCCGTAACTGGTGTTTTTCGGATGACGGCAGTTCCGGTTAGTGGAAATGGGGCGGGGGGGCGCCCCCAGTACAAACCATTAAACCAGGTTCCATTAAACCCAGTTCTGCCAACGCCCGACTCTAGGCGCCTGCCCTTCCCGTGCCCCCCGGCCGAGGACCCGTGAGAGCGTGCGCGCCCGGCAGATGCGATGCCCGGGCGGCTACGCGGCGCCACCTGGCGGGTGGGCGCGGCATCAAGCTCGGCGCAGCTGCGCTCGGTCCAGGAGGCTCCGGGAGGGCAGAGGGTGCGACCGGCGCCTACTCGGGGGCGCAAAAGAGGGGGGTGATGACTAGAGGGGGGTGGATATCATGGCGTGGGCCATGATATTTCCCCAGATTTCATGGCGCTTCTTCTTATTTCATTACGTCCCTGGACCCCCCGCTGGGCCGCGCACATGCCGCCGGTCAAGATTTGCACCCCCCCCCCTCTTGGACACCCCCCTCTTGGCCGCTCCCGACCTACGGCGGGACGACGGATCGGGGCTCAAGAGACGGGGGTCAATGCAAACGGGGGTCAGCCAGAGCGCCGGATCCTGCAGGGTCCTGCAGGGCCAGGGGCGCATCGTCCCAGGTTTGGGTGCAGGATCCTGCATGGGTTCTTGCAGGATCCTGCATGGCCTGACTGACCCGGGTCTGGATTGCTCGGGATCATTAGATTCAGGTGGGAAAGAAACACACAGACACACTTAATCGTCGATTCCCCAGAAAATATAAGAAAAGATGGGAGGTGGGGGAGAAGACGACGAAAACCCAGAAGACATGGGAAAATATGTGACATACTTAATGTGTGTGTGTATTTATGTGTGTGTGTGTGTGTCCTGGGGCCCCTTCATTAGATCCCCGATCCAGAGTCGGAGAGACGCCCACGACGGCGGGACGGAGGGGTTCCCGCATCGTCTGCGCAGTGCGCGTCGGCCGCGGCGCGCCGCGCTTCTCGCGCGCTGCAGCGCGCCGATCGGCGCGCGGGCGGCGCTGCAGCGCACCGATGGGCGCGCCTGCAGCGCGTCTCAGAGTCTCAGGGGCCACGTTCGGTCAGTGGGCCTTGTAAACGGCAGGAATGTTCTTGATGGGTGCCGCTTTTTGCAGTCTCGTTTTCCGTGTCCGTCGCCGTTTTTGATCTGGTTCTTCCTGATGCTCGTCCGGTTCATATTCCAACGCAGTTTTTTGTTTTGTTATGTTTTTGCATTTCGGTGAGCAGTTTTCTGCCACTCATAATCCAGAGACGGATTCTGAGACACGGTGCAATCAGCAGCTTTGCCGTTCCTATGGATCGCTAAGGTTTCGGCGGAACGTCAGTGTTTTCCCATATTCTCACTGGGATTGAAGTACAGTGCCGTTTTTAGTATGAAAAACAACGATGAGTTCATGCATACATTTTTGATTCATAAATTGATCATGTCTTGGATAAAATTTCTATACTTTTAAAAATCCCATGTATTGAAAACTGCCCTGTAGTGCCCGCCTCGGGGCGCGTTCCAGCGGCTGCGCCTCGCCGAGGGACGTCCAGTTGGAGCCCCAGTCGCCCCGACCGGCCGCCAGAGACCCGCGTTGGAGCCCGAAGAGGCGACGAGGGATATGGCCTGGCATCGCTCGGACGTGTGCATTTTTTCTCGGCGAGAACCATCAGAAATGGGCCCCGGGGCGAGACAAACTACCCATCGGGGAAGGGGCCGGGATTTCTGGGGCCGCGGAGATGTAACGTTTCTGGCAAGATAGGTGCTTACACAGTGGAGCACAGGCCTCGGCATCGCTCGGACGTGTGCATTTTGTTCTCGGCGAGAACCATCGAGGACCATCCTGGACCATCGAGCAAAAAAAAAACGCACGAAACCGAAACATGCACAGGAAATGGACGTCCGAGCGACGGCAAGATGGGGGGTATAGGCTCAGGGGGGAGGATGCATCGGCCCCCAATCGTGATGTTGGGCGTGGCCCCCTACAGGGCGAGTAGGGGAACAAAAGTGACATAAACATAAAAACTCGGAGGTCCTCGCCGATTTCTCGGATCGGCGCTGGGGCCCCCCGGCGGCGCCTCCGGCGCCGCCCCTGGCGCGCGGAGCGCGCCAGGGAGGGGAGTCCAGCGCCGATCCGAGAAATCCGCGCGGACCTTCGAGTTTTTATGTTTATGTCACTGTTTGTTCCCCTAGAGATGCATCGGCCCCCAATCGCCCATTTAATCATTGATAGGGGACCAGATAGCCCACCCCGCCCAGGACTGCACGGTTTCTCAATCGGGGGCCCATCGCCGATCCATCGTCCACGTCGCCGATTCCAGGTCGGCGTTTCCCTTCCAAAGTCAGTCCCCCCCGTCGTTCCCCCGCTGGGGAGGGGCGGGAGGAGGGAGAAAGGGAGGGGGAGGAGGAGGAAGGAGGAGGCGGAGGAGGGAGGGAGGGAGGGCAACATGGGGGAGGCCTCCCTGTTTTAGCCTCCTCGTTTCTAGATCCTTCCTGCTGCCTTCGCCTGTCCCTTCCTCTTCCTTCATCCACCCCCTCGCAGCAGGAGTCCGAGGACGAGGCGGAGCGCGACGTCCACGAAGGCGACAACGGCGACGCTGCCATCGACGACGACGAGGACGGCGACGAGGACGGCGACGAGGACGGCGACCACGACGACAGCCACGACACCCAGGCACGACCTATCGTTGCCCCTCAGTGCCGACTGGCGCGCCTCGCGAGGCCCACGCCTGCCCGAGGGGGCCTCCCGCACGCCCCGGCTTCTCCCGGCTTCGGCGGGGATGGCCCTCTTCACGATTGGCATCAGGCCCCGGTCTGGGCACAGACGGCCCCCATCGGGTAGTCCAGGCCACAGGGGCAGACCGGGGCGGCCTCCACACCCCAGCCTTGAGGTGCGGAGCGCTCCAGGGGCGCCGTCGGGAGCCGCGCCAAGGTGCCGAGGCCGCCTCGGGCTCTTCGGGGGGCCGGTTGAGGCCAGCCGGGACGACTTGGGGGGGACTGTCTGTGCGCAACCCGCAGACATACCATTCTCGGAGGGGGCCCGCCCGACTGGGGCGACCGGGCGGAGCCAGAACGAGGATAAATGCGTTCCAGACGGAGTTCCAGAGCGTTCCGGAACGCTCCAAGAGCTCGCCAGAGCTCTCCGAGAAGGCCGCGGCGCCCGAGACATCTTCCAAAGCCGCCGGACATCAGAGGCTCTCGATGCATCTTCACCCGATGGTATCCTTAGGGGACCATTTGCGAACCCTACCCCTACCCCCCACGATTTCTGAGGGGGAGGGTGGGGTTCACTTCGCTCGGGAGCTCCTGAATTACGTGAACCCCACCCTCCCCCTCAGAAATCGTGGAGGGTAGGGGTAGGGTTCGCACATGGCCCCCTAATCCTCGTCGTGTCTTCGTCTGAGAGATCGTGGTGGTCTCACTGATCCTCCGCCTCCGATGCCGAATTGGCTCCGCCGGGGTGGGCCGAGACCGCACACGGAGAGGGGGCCGCGGCGGGCGGCCCCGAGAAAGAGGCGTGCGCGCGCGCGCCTCTGGCGGCGGCGCGCGCTCCCCTGCGCAGAAGGCCTCCTCGATTTCGATCGATCGGATCGAGGATCAATGACCACCTTCGGGTCGGGCGAAAGGGGGGGATTGGGAAAGGGGGGGGTACGAAATTTGCTGCATGCAGCTGGTGTCGGCCTCACCGAGGGGCCCATTCCTCGATACATAGCCGTTCCGGCGCCGGGAGGCGCCGGGAAAATCAGCTACGTGAGCTGATTCTCAAACCCCCCCTTTGCTATCCCCCCTTTCGCCCGACCCGACCTCTGGGTCCCAGCCTTGGGCCAGGGCTGCGTAGACCTAAACGTTGTTTTGCTGGACTTCGTCGTCGTCGTCCTCCCCCTCCTCCTCCTCCTCCTCCTCCCCCTTTTAATCGCTCGTCCCGGACATGCGGGATATCCGAAAGCACCGTGTCCAGGTATGCGTCTGCCTCGTTGCCCCAGTCCAGGGTTTTTGCTTCGGAGCTGGCGGGTAGCACGCGGGTGCGTGCATTTGGCAGCCGGCGGCCTGACTGGAGACATCGAGTTGTGGACATTGGCTGGTATTGGGGAGAAGAAAAAACTTCGGCGGTGTTTTGTTTTCGTTTTTGGCAGGGAGGTACAGGAAAACGGGTGGAGCCATACGACAACAAAACGAACAGCTGCGTTTAGGTCCAGCCCTGCCCCACCTTGGGCCAGGTCGCGTTTTTTTGTGTTTTCTGGAGTTCTCGCCCCCATGGTCGCCCCGTGTGCCTCGCGACGTGCCTGGGATTTCGTCAGGATCGCTTTGCCGATCATGCACTGCGCGGTCTAGCCGCATATCTGGAAGGCCGCGCTGCTGACGCTGCGGGCCCAGTCGGCCCGACAGCGTGTGAAAGAAGATGTCGACATGGTCGTGGACACGTAAGACTCGTCGGGGCCCTGAAGAAGGAACCCTTTTGGTTGGGGAGGGGCTCCGCGTTCCGTAAGTGTTTCACAGCTTGCCTCAGGGTTTCCTTTTGTGTTCGACCGGAAATCGAAGTTTAACTTATGGAAGAAAGGGGCCTCGTTCCTTGTTTAGGGTTGCTTAGGTCAACGCCCCGACTGTACTCCAGAACTCGGGTCTGCCGACGCCTTTCGACGAGCGCGTCCTGACGGCCCAGTTTTCGTGGCAGGTCTGCAGCGGGAGTTCGCGTCAAATTTCAGAGTGGTCCTCGTCATTTTCATGGCGGCCCTGTCAGGCCAACCCGAGCCCCCCGAACCCAAGCCTTACGTCCCCCGACAGGGGATGGGCGATAGACAGGGTGGGGGGAATGGGGGGAGGGGGCAGAGGATCAGGAGGGAACATTCCACGTGGCTGGGGGAGTCAGGCGATCGCAAACATGGATCAAGGGGGCGTGGATTAGCGACGGTCCCGTTTCCATGGGAAATCGCGAATTTCCGCCGCCGAGCGAGGCGGCACCAGCCGCATTTTGGGGTGGGCACCTTCCCCGGTCCATGGATTTGGCGACCGCGCTCCAAATCTATGGATCGCTAATCCATGTTTGCGCGCCCCCGAGGGAGGTGGGTTGGCATATTCGTGTCGTCAAATCGAATGCCATCCGCCCGAGCCTAAGTCCAAGAGCAGCAGCAGCAGCAGCAGCAGCAGCAGCAGCAGCAGCAGAGTGGGGGGGGGAATCAGCAGTGCGAGGAGGAGGGGCAGGAGGAGGAGGAGGAGGGGGTGGTCGAGGAGGGAGAACAGGGACGGGGGGGGGGAAGGCTTCGACACGGCCCCTCGGATGCCACAGCCTGACAGAGCACGCCCGCACGACATCGGCTCGAGCAGCCGTCACCACGGCTGCCCCCGCGGCCCGCGCAGCCTGCGAGGCCCGCGCTCGGAAGGGGGCCCTGAAGCCGCACCCGTGTCACGAAGGTGGTGTTTTGGACGCTGACCCTGGGCGGGGCTACCTGGACCACCGCGGGGGGTGTTGAGGGTGTACTCGAAGAAGAAAGCCTCCAGAAGAGAGCAAGGAGGAGAAAGAGAATGAGCAACAGCAGCAGCAGGAGGGCGACGTTCGCTGTTGAACGCCGTCCTCGACGTTCCTCGTCGTCGACGCCGTCGTCGCCGCCGCTGTCGTCGTCGCCGTCTTAGTCGTCGACATAACGCCATAGACGTACGGTAGGTCTGCGTCGTGTCGACCAGCGGCGACCCCAGCGCGGACGTTCAAGGTTGAACGCCGCCGGCGACCCAGAATCGATCGATGTTGAACGATCGGACGTTGCGGCAACGGCCGATCGTTCAAGGTTGAACGATCCCTGCGGTGTCAAAAACCAACGCCGGGGTCGACACGACACGAACCTGCCGTACAAACTTTGGGCGCCGCTCCGCGCGGATTCCTTGGCTCCGCGCTGGGCCCCCCTCGGCGGCGCCTCCGGCGCCGCCCCTGCAGTGCGGTCCGCGCTCCGCTCTCGCCAGGATTCCCCATGTGTGTTCTATACTTTGGGGGAGGGTCGTCTTCCCCCCCCTGCTTCCCATACTTTCCCATTCCTCCTAGGGTTACCAGCCTCGAGCGTATCCCTATCCCTAAGAGTGGCACGCCAGAAGGCGATGACAATCTCAGGGATTCGCCCTCCACAAATACGGGAATCCTTAAGATTGGCATCGTGATGAGGAGGTGTCGCCGATTCAATGTGTCTGTGTGGTTGCACGTGCGTGGCCCCTGGGCGAAATCCGAATCCGAGGGCCGCCAGCTCGGGTTCCTCTGGCAGGGGGGGCCGCAGTGCAGCAGTTTTGGAGCGGAGCCCCCGCCCGGGTACCGGGAGGTCCTCGGTCCGTCTCGGCCTCCACCGCCCCTTTCTCTCCTTTCCTCAAGGGCGCCCTCGAGGGCGCGGAGTTCTTCGCGCTTCGCGGTTCGGCTCCGATCCCTCATCCCCCTTCTTCTCCCATGGGAGGCGGCGTGAGAGCGCGAGGTTATTTAATTTAACGCCCCTGAGAGGGCAGACACCGCCGCCCCACTTTTTTTTGGAACGCGGAGGTTGCGTGGGGGGCAAATCGGGATGTAGCGGGGGTGTTCACTCAGCTTTGGCCGGGCTTTTGTTAAGGGGGGTCTCAAAGACTCTCAGAAAGCCCCAAGAGAGCCGGAACATTATTTTTGACGCCAGATTGGACAATCAGGTCTCAGAGGGCCTGGAAAAGTACGAAGGTGGGGTTTTAAAGGCTTTCAGAAAGCCCAAAGAGAGCCGGAATCTTTTTCATTTTTTTTAAATATAAAAAAAACACGCCAGACAGCCGTAAGAAGGTCTGAACATGATTTATAAAAGGACGCTTGAGGGTGTGCAAAAGTGTAGACGAAAGGAAGAGGCATACGGAGAGACGTACAAACGAGATCCCAGTTAGTTTGGGGGCCTCAAAAGGGACTCCGGGGACCCCCTGGGCGCGCTCAGGACGGCCCAAGAAAGCCCCAAAAATGCTGCCAGGCGGCCCAGGCCGGGGTCGGGAGGCGTGGAGGACAGCCGCAGAGAGCGCCCGCTGATTCCAACGTGCTTCCAAGAGCCCGCGAAGACGCACGTGAGCTCGAAACAAGGCAGGAATAGAGGCTCGACAAGGCCAGAATGGACATAACCATATGTGTTTTACGAGGTTTTTTTGCGTGTTGATTTTTGTAGTCGAAGTGGGCCGAGGAGAGGTGGGCGGGCTGTCAGACTGGACCAAAATGGCTTGGAGGACGGCCAAGATCGCCCCAGGAGAGCGTCTGGAGGCCTTCAAAATCGAGTCAGTGAGCTCCCGGAGAGGCCTCTGAGAGAGGCCGGCGGCGCCTTGAAGACGAACGTTTCCAACGAGGTGTGTTCTGAAACGAATATGATGGCCAAAGAGCGCTCATTCCGCAGCTGTGGCCCCCGGGCCGGCGGAATGAGCAGGCCGCGGGGAGGGCCCCAGGAGGGGTTGCAAGGGCTCCGAGGAATGGGTATTGGTACAAGGAGTTCGTGCGCGCGTAGATTGAGGGGACTGAGTTCGTGCAGACCATGCGGCGGAGATCTCACGCGCCGTTCCCGGTGGGGCGGCGGATCGCTAGCGCTATTTGGGGCCTCTTGGGGCCGCATTGGGGGCTTCTTGGGGGCTTCTTGGGGGCGTCTCGGGGCTCCTTGGCGGCGCATTGGGCTCCCCTGGGGCCTCTTGGGGGGCCCTTGGGGGCTCCTTGGGGCGGGGGGGGGGTAGTCGTTGGCAGCCCCCCCCTCGAGGGAGGCCACGATCCTCGTGACGGGTGGCGAAGAATAGCTCCCCCCCTGGGGGTCGCCCGGGGATCAGCCGGGGATCGGCCGGGGCACTTTTCGTCCGGGGCCCCGCAGGGGCCGCCCCGCGCGCGCGAACTAGAAATATTGTTAAGTAATTACCGGAGATCTTAGCACGCCTCTGGCCCGTTGGGCCGGCGAATTCGCACTTCGCGCTTTGCGCAGCGCGAAGCTCGAAGTCGCGAGCCCTTGTTTCCTTCAGGAGGGGGAACAAACACACACACACACACACACACACACACACACACACACACACACACACACACACACACACACACACACACACACACACACACACACACAAAAACACACACACACAATGAATCGTCGACCCCCTAGAAAATATTGGAAACTAAGGGCAGTGGGGGGAAGACGAAACTCCAAAAGATATGGGATAATTGGGTGAAGTCCGCGGGGGTTGTGTGTATTTGTTTGTGTGCCCTTGGGCCCCTTCATCTCTCTCGCCCCGAGGAGTGAGGAGCGAAGGCTCGCCCCGCGCAGCTTTGGTCCGCGAGGCATTGGCAACAGAGGAGGGGCCCCGCGCGGGCGCCGTCCCCCCCTTGTGTCTTCGCAGTCGCCGGCTTCACACAGAGCGGGCGCGCATCAAGAAACCATATACTCTTCGTCAGGATATCCTGGGTTTTTTCGCTCCTCGCGCTGCGCGGTGACTTACCGCAGCCGTTGAAGGAGCTGCTGCGTTCAAGGTGCACTTCGCGCGCGGGCTGTCAGGATTGGGCTTCTTGAAAGGGTTTCTTGCGGCCGCGCCCGCACTGTAGCACACGGGAACCTCCAGCTTTGGGGTCGGTGCGATAGGGCAATTTGTCGCCAGTACTGCCACGGCTGGACTCCATATCTGAATGCTGCAACCCGGCCGCTCTCAACGGCGAGCCAGGGCCATCCACTCGAGCAACTCTTGCCCGAAGGCCGAAGCAGTCCCGATCCCAGGCAGTCGTGTCGGGCGACTTTCGGGGAGCGGGAGCCCAGGGAGGGCGGACGAGCAAGAGGATGGGGGGTGGACAGACCTCCTACCCTGACGCGTCGATTCGCGAATTGTGCGTTCTCGGTCCGCGAGAGGGCGTCGCGGCCGTCATTTTTGCGGGTCCAGGTCCGTCGGTTTCGGTCCCAGGCCGTTTTCATTGAAGGGAGGTGTGCTAAAGGGAGGTTTGTCCACCGCCGAGAGGAGGGGGACCCCGACCTTCCAGGAGGGCTAAAAAATAGGATGGACTTTAAAACCTATCCCAGAGCTATTCTACGTTTTGGTTGTAGGCTGTTTCGTTTAGTTTTTTAGGTGTTTGGGCCTCGCGTGCTAAAAAATAGCTTTCTGGAAGGTCAGGGGAGGGTGGGCCCAGAGACAGACTCGAGGCGCCCAATTCGCCCAGAATCAGAGGCAGCGCTCAGGGTGCAGGCCCAGGGGGGGGGATCCACTGTCGCCCAACCGCCCACTCGTCGACGATAGGAGCCCGGCATCCCATACTCGCCCTGAGACGCGCGGATTCGCAATCGGGGGCATCGCCGATCCCTCGGCGATGCATCCCCGCTTCGGGTCGCATGTCAATGCCGCCACCCTGAGCCATTTCCCCCTCTATCCCCCCCGCGGACGACAAGGGGTCCTGCTGTTTTCGCATCCCCCATCTCCTTTCGTCCACCCCCCCTTCGAAACAAGAGTTAAGGCCTGACGCTGACCCACGTCCGAATAAAAACTCCTCGTAGGAAGACGACGACGACAACCTTGATGACAGCGACGTCGACGACGCGATCGACGACGAGAACGGGGGCGACGAGGACGACGACCACGGCGACAACCACGACCACGACCACGACAAGGATAACCCAACAGACGACGAGGGTACCGACGACGACGATGGCGACGATGACGACGACAACCTCAAAGGCGGGGATGTCGCCGACGTTCTTCACGACGCCGACGTAATGGATGGTGGCGACATCGACGTGGACCGCGCTGTCCACGACAACGACCCAGAGATTCGAGGCGCCGATTGGTTCAATTCTGCGAGGTCCCCGTAAGGCTCGGCCCCTACCCCAATGCCCTGTTTCACCTTGAGCGCTTTCTCGTGGTCCGGGAACCCAGCGAGGGCCCAAAGCAGAAGATCACGAACAAAAACCAGCCTCGATTGCCCACCCAACAGGTTTGGGCTGTTATATTGTTTTGCAGAGGTCCTGACCAGCCGCCACGCCCAGTGCTTTGTGGGGGTGCCCCGCCTCGTGCCCTCGACGAATGGCGACGGCATGCCGCGGGCGCCTGGACCACAGTGTGCCAGTGTTGCTTGGGTATCCCGCCTCGTGTTCTCGTGTGGGGAACGTCGGAAGCAAAGTAGGTCATCCTGAGTATTGGTGCCGGAAGCGGTAGCCAAAAAACCTCCGTGCTGAGTGGTTCAATGCGCGGCCGCAGCAGCCCCGTCCTTGTTTCCCAGATCCACGCTTGATGCCCGCCGGGCCCGAGAACGGGCCCCAAGGGCCGAAATCCAGGAATCGCCCAGACTGGCAGCGTCGAGCAAATATAGCTGCTGGTCAGGCTCTGCCGCGTATCGCCATGGAGTGCACGCGTTACTCGAGTGTGGTTGCGGTCGTCCCCTCCCTCTTGCCCCTCCTTCTTCTCCCAAAATATTGCGCGGGGGCCCCCCGCGCAATATTTTGGGAGAACAAGGAGGGGCAAGAGGGGGGGAACAAAAACACACAAACAAACAAAATAACACTGGAAGAGTCAAGCTGTTCTGGCGGGTGTTAATGGGGAGGGGACCTGAATGGGGGGAGGCGAAAGGGGCCCTGCAGGGCCCATTTTGGGGGACGGTGGGGTTCCAAAATGGGGCCTCAAGAGCCCCTCCAGGGCCCGCTTCTCCACCCCTCATGAACGCCCCCCCCTTTCGTAACCCCCGCCCTTGACTCAGGAGAGAAAGAGACGCACAGACACAATGAATCGTCGACTCCCAGGGAAAGATAGGAAGATATGGGAAGTGGGGGGGCGACGCCCCCGAAGATGCGGGAAAGTATGGGGACTCCTTGGATGTGTGCCTCTTCATTTCTGTGCCCCTGGGCCCCTCTGTGAACCCCCGCCCGAGCTGTGCAGATCGGGGCCGACGATTGCGTCGCTGCGGCAGCGGCGGCGCCGGCGGCGGCCTGCCCCCCAGGGCAGCGCGGTGCATGGCGGCGTCGGCCCGGCGGTGCGGGCAGCCCTCGCTGGAGGCGCTGTCCCTGCCCCAGCCCGGCGGCCCAGAGGCCGCGCGCCGTCGCAGATTTGGGCCTCCTAGGTTTCGTCGGGCCTGTCTCTCTACAGGAGGAATATTCAAAAATAGTCAAACATAGACTGGGGACAATTTTTTAAGCATTGTTTGACTATGTTGGGGCAGTCTTGGGGTATGTATTATTCCCAACCATCCTGTGGTGTTGGGTCCTCGTTTTGAAGAGACAGCGCCCCGCGTTCACTCCTCCTCCCGCTGCCCCCTCCCTCCTGCCATCATCATCATCATCATCACCATCACCATCACCATCATCATCATCATCATCATCATCATCATCATCATCATCATCATCATCATCATCATCATCATCATCATCATCATCATCATGTGGCTGCGCTCCCATGCGCCCACCGCACGCATTTCGGCACACCCCTCACACGTTTCGTGGCCCCATAGGGAGCTCCAGCGAAGGCCCCAGTGGCTGCGCTCCCATGCGCCCACCGCACCCATTTCGGCACACCCCTCATACGTTTCGTGGCCCCATAGGGAGCTCCAGCGAAGGCCCCAGTGGCTGCGCTCCCATGCGCCCACCGCACAGATTTCGGCACACCCCTCACACGGTTCGTGGCCACCGCACAGATTTCCGCACACCCCTACAGCGCCATCGAAGAAGATACTCACAATTGCGGTACTCGCAACTGCATCTGGTTGGGTCCTTCGCCAGGATAATTTTTTTTCGCTCAAAATCCCCCTGTAGGGGGACATGCCCGACCGACTCCTAGATGGGATCAGAGTAGATGGCGTCCGAGGATCGCGCCGCATCGCCGATGCATCGGCGGTGCGGCTCGATGCGGAGCCCGATTTTCTCCACGCCGACGTCGCCGATGCATAGCCGACGTCGCAGGTGCGTTGCCGATGCATCGCCGATGCATCGCCGATGTATCGGCGATGCGGCGCTCTCCGACCCCATCTACTCCGAGCCCATCTAGGAGGCCTCTAGCAAAGTGTCGGGGGGGAGGGCTCTTTTCGCAGCCCTCCAGCCTTCCAATCAGGCGATCGCAAACATGGATCAAGGGGGCGTGTATTAGCGACGGGTCCCGCCTCCATGGGAAATCGCAAATTTCCGCCGCCGAACGAGGCGGCACCGGCCGCGTTTGGGGGAGGGCGCCTCCCCCGATCGATTTGGCGACCGCGCCAGATCCTTGGATCGCTAATCCATGTTTGCGCGCCCTCGCCTTCCAAGGAGGGCCTTCTCAGAAGCCTCCGGTCGGGTATGTCCTCCCACGGGCGGAGTGGGGAAGAAGAACGAGACATAGCCAATCAACAAAATATGTATTCAGAAATGGTCGAACAAGAGGACTCTAGGCCTCCCAGATGGGGTCGGAATAGATGGGGTCGGAGGATCGCGCCGCATCGCCGATACATCGGCGATGCGGCTCGATGTGCAGCCCGATTTGCTCACGTCGACGTCGACGATGCACCGCCGGTGCATCGCCGGTGCATCGCCGGTGCATCGCCGATGCATCGCCGATGTATCGGCGATGCGGTGTGATCCTCCGCTTCCATCTGCTCCGACCCCATCTAGGAGGCCTCTAAGGACGTCGAAAGAAGGATCAGGAGGGGCTCTGATCTGCAGGCCAGTCCCGAAACTGACGTCGGGGGCACCTCTCCGTGGGCGGCGCACGCCGCGGTCAGGAAAGCTCAGTCGTTCTTTTTGTGGGTGTTCCTTATGGTGGCGCGATGGCCTCCTCCTCCTCCTGCTCCTCCTGCTCCTCCTGCTCCTCCTGCTCCTCCTCCCCCTCCCTCCTCCCTCCTCCTCCTCCCTCCTTCTCCTTCCTCCTCCTCCTCCCTCCTCTCTCCTCCCTCCTCCCTCCTCCTCCTTCCTCCCTCCTCCTCCTCCTTCCTCTCCTCCCTCCTCCCTCCTCCCTCCTCCTCCTCCCTCCTCCCTCCTCCCCTCCTTCCTCCTTCCTCCTTCCTCCTCCTCCTCCTCCTCCCTCCTCCCTCCTTCCTCCTCCTTCTCCCTCCTCCCTCCTCCCTCCTTCCTCCTTCCTCCTCCTCCTCGTGGGGGAGGGGCTCTGGTGGGGCGCCTCGACCCCCAAGCGCCCCTTCATCGCCGGGCTGGACCCGGGAAGGACGGAGACTAGAGATTCGTATTGGGCTGGCCTCCGGCCAGTGCCGCCGATCCGGGGGGGGGAGAGCGAAGGGGAAGAAGGGGCCTGGGGTGCCGAAAAAGCGTCGGAGATGACGTCGGAAATATCCCCGGGTACCGAAAAACGTCGGAAATGACGTGCCCCCCCCCCCCCTGCAGAGCGAAGCTTGAGCGAGCTCAAGTCCACGCTCTCAGAAACTCACACGCCGGATCGGCGGATTCAGTTGGAGCAGTTGTGGAGGGGGCAGCACACTGCCAGTGGCAGCGCAGGTGAACGGGGTTGGCTCGGGGGGGGACGCATCGATCGCCCATTCATCGCCGCGCTGGATCCGGGGAGAGGGGAGAGAAGTAGTTGATTGCTCGTTTCGAGTGAGCGCGGAGGAGGAGCAGGGAGGGAGCCCGATCTCAGGTATTCACGCCGAGTGACTCTGGAGGAGCCCACGGAGGGCGGAGGAGGAAGAGGAGGAGGAGGAGGAGGAGGAGGAGAACCAGGGACGGCGGAGGAGCAGGAGGGAGCAGGGAGGGCGGAGAGGGAGCAGGAGGACCACCAGGGAAGGCGGAGGGAGGGCAGGGAGGGAGCCCACAGGGAGGGCGGAGGAGGAGCAGGAGGAGGAGGAGGAGGAGGCGAGGGGGGGCCTGGCGGCGGCCTCGCGAGGCGCCCGTCGGGTCCAGTCCGGGAGGAGGAGGGGCTCGAGGAGGAGGGGCCTGCGCACCCGAGGGCCTCTCTTGGCATCGCTCGGGCGTGTGCATCTTTCCTCCGGCGAGGGCCATCGAGGAGCATCCTGATCATTTGGCGAAAAACACACGCACGAAACGGAAAAAACACAGGGAATGGACGTCCGAGCGATGCCCAGCTCTCGTCCTGCGCACCCGAGGGCCTCTCGTCCCTGACCTTCCAGAGAGCTTTTTTTATCACGGGAGGCCCAAAACCTAAAAAACAACACGAAGCAGCCGAAGGCCAAGACATAGAGTAGCTCTGGGATAGGATTCAAGTCGCGTGCTATTCTTTAGCCCTCCTGGAAGGTCAGGGTCGCCCTCCCCCCGAGGCCGCCTCCAGCCCCGGCGGGGCGGCGTGGGCCGCCGCGGCGGCGCCCGCCGCATGGCCCCGGCCGCGGCCGCCGCCCGGCGCGGGCCGGGCGAGGACCCCGACGCAGAGTTCCCTTGCGATCCTCGCGCCCTCCTCCTCCTCCTCCTCCTCCTCCTCCTCCTCCTCCTCCTCCTCCTCCTGCTCCCTCTCCTCCTCCTCCGTTTCCTCCTCCTCCTCCTGCTCCTCCTCTTCTTGCTGCTCCTCCTCCTCCTTCTGCTCCTCCTCCTCCTCCTCCGTTTCCTCCTCCTGCTCATCCTCCTCCGCCGCCTCCTCCTCCTGCTCCTCCTCCTCCCCTCCTGCTCCTCCGCCTCCGTTTACTCCTCCTCCTCCTCCTCCTCCGTTTCCCTCCTCCTCCTCCTCCTCCTCCGTTTCCTCCTCCTCCTCCTCCTCCTCCTCCTCCGTTTCCTCCTCCTCCTCCTGCTCCTCCTCCTCCTGCTTCTCCTCCTCCTCCGTTTCCTCCTCATCATCATCCGTTTCTTCCGTTTCCTTCTCCTCCTCCGGTTTCTCCTCCTCCTTCTCCTCGTCTTGCTCTTCCTCCTCCTCATCCTCCTGATCGAGCCGGGTGTTTTGGCTTGGTTTCGGGCTTCTGGGACCTTCACAGATCGATCCGGCTCGAAGAAGGGCTCAAGAAGATAGGGTCCAGGGCTCCTGCCGTGATTGTCGACGATGTGGAATTCTTGTCGGGACGCCAGGGGGGTGGCCTTTGGGAACGGAATTCTATGGAGTCCTGGTGGTCGTGGCCCCTTCTGCCCCCGTGAGACATGATCAAGACATCGGTTTTCTCCGGACGCCGACGGTTGTCGGCGGCGCCGGCGGCGGCGGTCGCTTCGGCGTCGCCCAGATCCCGGACTGCGGCGGCCGCGGAAGCGCCGGCGCCGGCGGACGGAGATGCTTCTTCGCGGCCGCGACGGCGGCGGCAATGGCAGCAATGGCAGCGGAACCGGCCTCTGACCCCCTCGAGCCATGAAAAAATCACGACGCACGCTTGTTGTTAGCTATGTTCAGCCTCTGGGAGCCCTCACCGGGCCCCAGGACGGATGAGAAAACAGTCCTGGTGAATGAATGGGTCGAGACCTTTGGGGGTCGATTCGGGGGTGGACAGGACCCCCACCCTCACACGTCAATTAGAGAATTGTCCGTTTGCGGTTCTCGAGAGGGCGCCGCGGCCGTCAGTTTCCAGGCTCAGGCCGACGACGGCTCCAAGACGGCCTCCTGCAGCCCCCACGACGGCCCAAGAGTCCCCCAAGAGGACCCCCAAGAGTGCCTCCAGAGCAACACTGCCTCGGAAAACGTACATTTTTACGATATTCACCGCTTCGGCGTCGACCGCGTCGAAGGCGGCCCCAGGAGCCGACCAGATCGCCCAAAGACGGCCAAAGAGAGTTCCAAGAGGCCTCCAAGACGGCTCAAGAGGGGCCTTTGACTGTCCACGGGGCTCCAAAGGCAGTCCCAGAGGGCCCCTGGACAGCTTCCCGACACAGCCCCGAGGGGTACCCCACTCGACATTTCGAACCGCCCTTCCCAAAAAGCACCCCGGAGACCCCAAGAAACCTCCCAAACCCAAGAGCCCTCTCCCCAGACGCCCTGAGGTACTCTGGCCGATCCCAGAGCTTCGGACAACGCTCAGCATCTTGACGACCCAACGGGCCCCGGGACTCTCAAACATTTAGGACGAAACTTCTGGCCTATGGAAGTTGTCCAGACGTCGGGGCCACTCCAGGGACCCCGCATTGAAAAAAACACGATATCGGAACTCTTGGTCAGGATGACAAGCGGGTCCCGTGAAAGGGGCCAGACTTTTAGGAGCCGACGTATAGCGAAAAAATCACGGCGCTGGAAGACTGGGCATCCCTCCCTCATCTCACCCCTCGGGATGTTTGCGGCCGTTTGCGGCCACCAGTGGCATTCAGCCGGCTCTGGGACCAGCAAAAAACGAGGATGCAAAACCGGTCCCGGGGAAGGCGTCCCGACCTCCGGGAGCCGACGTGGCAAAACAGAAGATTTCGGGTGATCGGGTATCCTTCCCTCCCTCCTTCTCTCCCTTTCCCCCTGACCTCTCCCGTCCGGAGAAAAACACGACGAGAGGTTCGCGGCCGTTTTATGCTTCCGGCGGGCCCTCAACAGGCCCCGGGACCGTCAATGGCGATTCGGGACGAAAAGTGGTCCCCGGGAAGGTGTCCACATCTTCAGGTACCTCCGCTGTGAAACAATCACGACGTCATGGGTCTGGGTCTCTCCCATTTTGCTGGTCCCCAGACATCCGCCCACATGATTTGTTGAACCCGCGGCCCCGGAACTCTCTCCCAGACATTGCTTCGCCGTGCCGGATCAGTTTTGGATGGTTCCAGGCCCCCAAAGCGGCCCCAGCGGAGCCGAAAACGACGAAAAATGCGTTCGAACCTCCATGCCCGACGACTGAAAAGATCACGTCGCCAGAGGTCCGGGTAACGCCCCCTCGCGCACCCCGTGGCTCGCACCGCGCCCGCCCCCGTTTCCGTCGTCACTTGTCGCCGCCCCTGTCGTCGTCGTCGCTGATCACACGAGCGGAAACGAAAGCAGCAAAACATGGCGCAGCCGTGACTAGAACCGTGTTGCAAGGGATTCTTGGGTGCGCGCGCGTAGTATTGGTTGCAGAGGATGGCGGGGGGGACGACACCGATTGGGCCGGGATGGTATGAGTTCATGTTTAAGATGGACGATGGATGGGGCAGAATCGTTTGTAAATTCCTTACGATCAGGGGAAGTGATAATCCAGGGTCCCGGGGGGGTACAATATATCCTATGCGTGCATGTCTTTCCTCATCCCGTCACGGGTCCAGGCCGTCGATGTTAGATCGCTTCCGTGGGTTTAAAAGGGCTCAAGATTTCGTACCAAGGCAGTGCGAATGGATTAGTTGCTCCCTGCCGCCCAGTACGCTTGGCAGGGAGCACTTGCAGATCTTTGGGGCGGCAACCTGCAGAGGTGCCCGTCTGTTAACGTCCCAGCCTGTCCTGCCATACCGAGCTGCGTGTGCCCGCTGTGCCCTGGCTGCCCAGCGTGCCCCGGGGGCCCCCCCGCTCCCGCCACGCCCTCGGCGAACGGCGAGGGCAGAGGCGAGTCGAGGCCGTCTTGCTCTTTCTGGAACGTGGTGCTGCTGAACGAGCTCCTCTTGCTGGGCCTGGTGCTGAGCTACGCCTTCCTGTCGTGGAGCCGTCTCGGAGTGACTTGCTGCCGGCGCGATGCTGACCGCGCAGAACGTGGGGCCAGCGGAGGCAGCGCCCCATGGGATGCGCCAGTGGGCGTGGGTCCGCTACGAGGGCGAGCCATTGTGGCACCAGCGGCTGATCTGAGGGCGCCGGGTCCGGACGCCAATGGAGAGGGTCACTGACTGGACGGTGCTGATATGTACGGTAGACACCGACATCTATGAAGAGGACTATTCGTGCCAGGGGGGAGATATCATAACCGTGAGGTTCACATCAGCTCGGGCGACCTTCCCGCCTGGCGTCGGTGCGGCCAATTCGTACAGGTTCAGGCGGAACCTCACGGCTGTGGAGATGCAGCAGATCGACCAGACCGCGTTGAACTATTGTACGGCAGATCTGACTGCCGACCACCAGCGCCTGCGGCTGCCTGTGCCCGGCGGGCCGTTCCTGGTGCCGCTGACCTTCGGCCCCGCCGGGGATGGTGGCCCTGCCGCGGGCGCCGCGCCGGCCGCCGCAGGTGCCGCACCCCTGGTCGCCGCTGCGTTGGCCGCCCCGGTGGCGATGCCTGCCGGCGCGGCGGCTGCGCCTCCTGTTGCGGGAGGAGCGGCGCCGAGCGGCGCGGCCGCGGCAGGGCCGGGGGCTGCGGCCCCGGCGGCTGAGGCGGCGGTCTGGGTGCTGGTCGAATCGACGACGGCGGGCCGGCGTGGGGCGGTGGTGATTCCGCCCGCCGGCTCGGACCTCCGCGGGGCCGTCGGCTTGATGCCTCAAGCTGACGGGACGTGGGTGGCGATCCGTTCGGTATCCGAGCCCGCTCAGACCTACGCTGGTCGGGAGGCCGCCTCGGACGCCAGACTGATGAGCATCGTCGCGAACCCAGCGGTTCCGGGCGGCAGGCTCCTTAGGCAGTGGCGTGACGCGGTGGCCACCTTCACGGAGGAGTCGTTCGTGGAATGGTACATTCCAGGCCCAAGCACGTGCTTCTGGTGCTGCAAGTTCATAGACAGACGTCAGGGTGGCCCGCTCGATCATTTCAGGTTGTGGAAGTCCACCTTGGGGCTGTCGACCGAGGACTATACGGGGTCAGCGATTGCGAGGCGAGTACGCGGGCCATCCACACCCTCGCCTGCTGGGGCGACTTCGACCTGCCGAACCTGGCGGGGGCGGAGCAGATCCTCAGGATGTGCCAGATGTATGAGTACATGTATGTCATGGATCGAGACCCTCACCACAGTGCTTCCTCCGGCGGAGACGGGGGCTGCGAGGGCGGCGACCAGAAGAAGAAGAACCGAGGCCGGGGGCGCGGCGGCGGTCGCCACAGCCTGCTGAGCTCCAGGTTCATCGATGAGAGCGCCGTCTTCACAGGTCTCAGTCGAGACCATGGAAAGAACATAGTCTGCTCACTGCTCCTCGAGCACGTGGCGAAGGAGGTGGAGAGGGATGCTTCGGTTCTGAAGCAGGTTCGCAAGACCCTGAGGAGCAGCGGGCCTTGCGATCATGACGAGCTCACGACCACGCGTGCCGCAACCCCCCGGCGGTGCGCGCGTTTTCGGAGGGGGGTCCAGCGGCGGTGGCCCGCCGCCTGGTGGTGAGAGGTACTTCTCGGGCGATCGCGCTGGGCGACAACGCGGTCTTTTTCCAATGCCAGGCCCTGGTCAACAGCATCGGGCAGCTTCAGAGGCGCATGGCATCACTTGTCCACGCTCGGTGGCGCGTCGGGTTCTCCGCCTCGGCCACGCCAACTCGATGGAGGGCGAGATCTTGCGGGCCCTCGACGAGCTGTGCCTTGGCCAGCCTGGGCGCCCCGGCAGGCATCCTCAGTCCATCACTGCGGGTCAGCAGCGGGCCTTGGACCACGCGCGCGAC